AATGTGTTAGAAGATTTATAGATATAATGATATATATATTTACACGACGTGATCATGAAAACATTGTGTAATATACTGTATCTTAAGAATACTACTATTTTCGTATTATAGATAAGTCATCACTCTTAAAAGTAAAAACATTAATGTGAGAACTAATGCAGCATGTGTATTAAAAAGTTAACTTTCATTTAGCAAAAAAAGTAAAAATAAAAAGTTAACTTTCAAATATTTGAAATCTTTTTTCATATCGGTCTTATTATAATTTAATATACATTAATTTATTCGTGTAATATAACTTTAAAGATCCTTATATCATATTCATATTTATCAATCAATTTAAGATTTTCAATTTCAGATCCTTGATCACATCAAACTGCATATTAAACTTGTCAAATATTGTATTAAATTGACTAAAAATAATGTTTTAAACATCACATGAAAATAGATGCTTGAATCTTTGATACAACTCAGATTTCTTTAATCTTTACAACAGCAACAATTATAATAGATATGAATAATTTTTTCAAGGATTCATTTGTTCACAAAACCTGCCTACGCAAATAACCAATACCACAACGCAGTGTTATTTTGAAAAGCAAATTATGATTTTGAAACCCACAAATTTCGGGACTAAAAATCCAACATAAACTTTAGTCTTAGAAGTTTTTCTTGCAATACTCCACCATATCTTGCTATAACTCAAATGTGTTATGGGTTATAAAACCCCAAAGGCATCAGATCAGCTAAGTTAGGCTTAGACCCTCCTGAAAGGTCAAAATAATCATTGCCTCACATCTAAAGAATGCAAGATTATTATATGTCAGTTCATCAAGGAAAATTCGAGTAATCGAAACAAATGCTAGAAACTTGCTTATAGCTACACTAACAAATAAATACATATACGGGTTTCTAATTATGAATGACCTTTCAAGATTCTGATCAAGCAAAAGTTCAAGGAAAGCGTTGTAAGAGTTAAATGAGAAAAATGTCAAATGAATTAAGAACTTAAAATATAGACTCCATTATCAATTTTGAATGATTAAAAAAAATAATGTATATTGAAATTTTTTATTAGCTTCAAAATTATACTGATTTTATTAATTTATTACTTTATTTTTATTAAAGTCTTTTGTGGAAAAATAATTAATATTTGTATATCAATTTTTTAAAAAAAATTGTGATAAACTTTATAAAAAATTATAATTAGGATTAGAGGAAATAAATGAGTATTTTTTTTTATACGATTACCTTCTTTTCTGTTATTAACGAGTATCTATATATATAAAAAAAAATGTATAATTCAATTTTTAAAGCTGAATTTAAGCACTAAAAATAGTAAGATTTATCTAAAAATATTTATCATACTTTTATAATTTTAATACAATAAATATTATTTTAATAAAATCTTATAAATTTAATCCTTAAAATTGAGGTTAATAATATATATATAAATAAATGCTAATACCTGTCATTAAAACATTGGTTAAAAATAAAAATATTAATTATATATTTTTTATCATGACTTTGAACCTGTTGAATAGAAAAAAATTTTAAAATCTTCAAGAATTAAAAACACCTAAACTTCAGTGTCGTAAGAAATAGCAAGAGATTGCTATAAAAAAAATAATTAGAAAGGAAGGGATGGTAAAAGTATTCTCAACTTATTCGTTAGTAAAATATAATTTTGAAGAAAATAATATAAGTGACATTAACTTTAAATAAATTTAATTGCAATAGAAAATGCAATGATAAAGAAAATACAAAATTATTAAATTTATACATCTAAATATACATCTAAATATAGAATTCTCGTAACAAGATCAAAACTTTAGAATTAGATTGAATAAAATTTACTTAGTATATTGTGATACTAGGAATAGATTTTAATATGTGAATTATTCTTTAACACTTGTTTTTAATGTTAGATGATTCATTGAATATTTAGAGAATCACTATTAAATAAATACTCATAGAAACCTTGTATGTAAAGAATTAATATAAGGTTATGTAACAGTGTTGCATATGCTTTTATAGAATAGTTTTTAATGTATTAAATCGTCATAATAAAGAGGAGAATGAATGATGAAGTCCAATGTTAACTTTAAATTTATGCATTTCAACACTTATATTATTTCTATTTTACTTATATTTATTATCTTTAATCTTCTAAAATTTTAACTAATAGATACATTTACAAATATAAATAATTTCGGTCAGATATTTTAATTAGAATAATAAAAATTATAATAATATCTACTAATCTTTAAAAAGGACGATAATTTTATTTGTAATTATTTATGCGATTAATTGACACATTTATTAAAAGATCAACAAACTCTTAGGTGTATTTTAGATAAAAAAAATTATTAAAATTATTATAAACAACTAATGAATAAAAATATGATAAATTTATAAGCATAATAAACATTAAAAATAAAATAGTAATTATACTTAATTAACTCTTCAAAGAGCTAATACATTATTTTTGTTGAGATTCTCATATTCTACTACCATAAAATAATATATTTATGTTGTTCAATAATAAAAAAAAAATCTATGATAAAGACCAATGCTAGACCTATATTAGAGAGTAAGAATCATAAGACATAATCAATCAAATAAATTAAGAAAAATTATACATGATAACTTTAAATGTTACTAGGAATATTGGGCTTAAAAAAAGAAAAATTTGCTTCCAAACCTTTAATTTAAATTGCTATGCAATTCAAAAAGCATAAGTCTACTCAAAGATTAATCCAAAAAATAATTTATTAGAAAGTATTTAGTCAAAAACAAAGTGTGACTTAAGTTGATGTTGATGCATACCATCAACTTTGTTGTACTACTGCAGTACACCTTCATTCAAACAAGGAAAAAATGAAAGGAGGGAAACCAAAGAATAAGGCTATGCTTTGAAGGGTTTGAAATCAATATGGGAAACCATTACAAATTGAGTATTTAACTTAAAAGTAGTGCAGTAAAACTTCTTTTAGGCAAAAGAGAGTAGCATCAACTGTCAAACAAAAAGTAGTAGCATAAATCAATTCTTAAGCACAAATTTAACAAGTAATGGTTCGAAGTTTTATTTTAAACTTGACAAATCAACAGTGTCTCAATACAAAATTTACAATGATATGTGTATAAACCTTTTCTCTAAGAACTTAAAAAATTAGAGACTTATCTAGTTTTCGATCAAGAGTTTCTCTAAGAATACAATACTAAAACATATATTTCTTTAGAAAGAATGTCATAACACACTCTCTAAACAATGATATATATATATATATATATATAAACTTTGATCCAAAAACTTCTAAAATCTATTAATATATATAAATTTTGGTCCAAAAACTTCTTAAATCTATTAAGGTATATTTTATTTAAGACAAATGAAACATATTTTCTTTAACAAAATCAAATGAAGGAAAAAAAAATGTCAACGAAGATGGGAGAAAACAACAAAGATTAGTCAATCACTTAATATTTTTTTTATATAAAGTATTACAATAATTTTAAAATAACTATTTAAATTCTCTCACTTATGTGCAAATTGACAAAAATAATTTTTATTTATAATAATTAATAATAAAAATTATAACCAAAATATGATTTTATTAAATTTATTTTAGAAATATCTTTGACTAATAAATTATAAATTTAATTAAAATATATTAACAGTATAAATATTTTTATGTTTTCTCTCAATTATAAATTACTATATCATTAAAAATATTAATTCTTTATATATTATTTTATTATTTAAATTTTAATATTATAATATTTTTATGTTTATTTATTTGGTATGATAATGAAATACTATACATTATAATTAAAGAGGAAAAACTGAAAAAAATAACAAAATAATAATCAAATTTACAGTGTAAATCTTGAAATTATAAAATAAAGATATAATCTTACTTAAATAATGCAATAAAATAAGAATAAGAATATAATTTATTATTATCATTATTAGTGGCGGTGTACTTTTAAAATATCATAAAACATATTATAATATTTTCAAACATGAAAATGTAAAAGCTTTTTAGGAATTTTAAAAAGAATCTTAAAATTTGTTGAGAAAATAGAAAATTAAAAACTAAAGTATTTTATTAAAATGGTTGTGTATATATAACGTTGCTTTAATTATTTATTTAATGAAAATAATTATATTATATTATATATAATTTATCATATTTATATTTTATTTTGACTAATAATATATGTACCAAAAATTTATAATTATATACAGTCAAAATAAAAGATAAATAATATATATATATAAATATATATTATTAATATTTTTGACAAATGTAGTTGAAGAAAAAGTAAGGTGAGAAAGAGAATAAAATTATGATTACTTTATGAGTTAGTTTTTAAATTAAAGAAAATTATTTTAATATACATAAATCATATTAAGATAAATATATTTATTTAATATTGTTAATAATTAATTTTATTACCTATTATAAATCTTTAATAATATTTAAAAATAAAATAATTATTTATTGGTTATAAAGAAAATAATAAAATATAAATTATAATTTGTACGGCCTATAAAATAATGAATAAAAGTATTTACGTACGTAACTATAATAATTGAATAAAATATATTGTAATTAAAGACAAAAATAATAAAATATAGATAAATTAATAGTAAAAAGTGAATAATAATTAAAAATTAAGGACTTTATATATATATATATTATTTAATATATTTTTAATGTTTTAATTAAAAATTTATTTTGATTTAATAATAGTTAAGTTATACAATGTAAAAAGAAAAACAAACTCATTAGTTCGTAAAAAAGCTTGTTTATTTGCCAATAATTAACAGAGTTTTTAACAGAAAGAGCTGATTTTAAAAAGCGAAAATTAAAATTTAGTTGAGCTGGAGCAGAAGAAGTTGGAGGCGAAAACGGAAAGAAAGGACGAAAAAGTAGATGGTAGAATCCATTTTTTTAGTTTAACTTTTAAATTAAAAATTCGTTCCTATTCATCCCACAACTTCGTGGTTGCGTGCCTTCGTATGGAGCTTTATGGTTCGTCGCCGCCACCCCCAAACATCGCAAGCCCTCCGATTTCACCGTTCCTATCTCCTAATTTCGTCTGCGAACCCTAATTGGCCCCAACCTCCGCCCAATTCCCCTTTCCGCAACCGCAACCATGTTCCCGTGGCGGAACATTGCCAAGTCAGCGGAGGCCACCTTCTCCCGTTGGGCCCTTAAGAGGGTTTGCAAATTCTTCCTCAAGAAGAAATTGGGACAGTTCATTCTCGGCGACATCGACCTCGACCAGCTCGATGTTCAACTCTCCCAAGGCACCATTCAGCTCACCGATCTTGCTCTCAACGTCGACTTCATAAACGCCAAGGTTATAATGCTCGCCTTCTCTTTTTTCTCTTCCTCAATTTTGTTTCCTTATCGGAAATTCCTAGGACTAGGCATTTCTGTTGTTTATTTTAATTGATAAAATGAGACACGGTGCCTGTTTCCTCTTCATATACCGTTGGCTGCAATACTTTGAGTTGCCTAAGCGATGAATGGTTAGATTAATTAATAGTGAAAGAATGAAGCTTTGTGCATGTGAATGTATGAAATGAAAGCATACAATAGTGTTAACAACACCCAAGAGATCAGCCAAAGACTAAAATTTAGTTAGTTTACACACACACAAATACTGATATAATTGGATCAAGGTTAGGATATAAAGTTATGTGGCCTTTAAGCTAATAATATATAACTTTGGCCATCTTGGTGAAGTTAAATGGTGGTTGTCATAGGAATAATAATGTGACTTCTTAATGCTGGGTATGTTTTATAGCAAAGTAGCTCTAAGGTTATTTTTATTGAATTTGAAGATGTTCTCAGTTCAAAATCATCAAGAGTATTTGTTTATTTATTTATTTATTTCATTAGCTTATTGCTTTACTTTGCTCATGTTTAACAGTTTAGCAAGACATCAACTCTAATGGTCAAAGAAGGATCCATTGGCTACCTGTTGATTAAAATGCCTTGGAGTGGTAAAGGTTGTGAGGTTGAAGTGAATCAGCTTGAATTAGTAGTTTCTCCATGCACAGATAAAATCTCAACTAGTGAAGATGAAACTTGTGGCTCTGACATTAGTGATGATTGTCGCCTTAAATGTAGCTCAACACGGACTGACCATGAAATAGCAGATGATGCTCTGAAGTCAACTTCAGTGGATGTTCATGAAGGTGTGAAAACAATTGCAAAGATGATAAAGTGGTTGCTCACAAGCTTCCATGTTAAAATAACAAATGTAATTATTGCATTTGATCCATCCTTAGACAATGAAGACAATAAAGCACATTGTCATCAGACCTTAGTTCTTCGGATTTCTGAAATACAATGTGGAACTAGTCTGTCTGAAGATGCTGATTCAAATGTTGATGTCCTTGGAATAAGCCAGTTAACAAACTTTGTAAAGTTTCATGGAGCAGTTCTCGAGCTTCTGAAAATAGATGATGAAGATAACCATTTATACTTTCAACATGCATCAGAAGCAGGATGTGGTGAACCTGTTTTGGGGTCAAATAAAGCCACATGTCCAGTCATGACTGGGAAACAAGGTGGATTTGGTGGAAGCGTAAAATTAAGCATTCCTTGGAAGAATGGTTCTTTGGACATTTGCAAGGTGGATGCTGATGTTTGTGTCGATCCCATAGTGTTAAGATTTCAACCTAGTGCAATTAAATGGTTATTGCAGTCATGGGAAACTCTTAAGAATCTGAATAATAATGGCAAAGGTTTCACAAATCACAACTTAAGAGGATCCACCCAATTAAATTCTACCAGTGAAATTATAACTGGCAATGGTAGTTTGCCTGTTGATTGCACTTCTTTGACCCAACCAGAAATCCTTGCGGAAGATTTGCTTCCCACTGCTCATCTTATATCAGATTGGGTGCCATTATCTTCTCATATAAATCATAAAGATGGTGTTCAAGAACTTGATTTTGGAGCAAGGTAGGTCTTTCTTCCCCTTTTAAAGAAATTGTAGTTGGCAGTCCTGGAGATCTTGACAAATGACAATTCTGAGAATTTTATTAAGTTTGACCAATTCACTTAACTTTGCAATCTAATCATTAGAATTTTCTATTTGTGCCATCTTGTTGAATGGCAAAGTTTCCTATGCTACTTTCAAATTAAACATTTGCTGTCAATCAATTGTCCCCTCTTAAAGAAAAAATGAAATTCTCCAGTTGAAACTATTTTAGTAGTCAAATATTTCTACTCGTTGCATGTGTTACAGATGAGTCTAAAGACTTTAACATGGTAGTATAATTTATGTTCATTGTATTATCAATTAAACTTTACAATTACTTTCAGGTGATTTCACTAATTTGTGTCCATTGTAAATTTTAATGTTCACAATGTCCCCTTATATCACTTCTGCAGGATAGATATTATGTACATGAGAGCTAAGTCAACTCTGTATTTTTAGTGTTTTATAGGTCTTTCTCTATTTATTGACTCTGACATCTCTGTTGATAATTCTGTTGTGGGATTTCCTGCAGTGTGGACCAGTTTTTTGAATGTTTTGATGGAATGAGAAATTCTCAATCAGCTTTAGGAAGCAGTGGGATGTGGAATTGGACATATTCAGTATTTAATGCTATTACTGCTGCATCCAGCCTTGCTTCTGGATCCTTGCATATTCCATCTGGTACTTGACTTCTCAACATATTCTTTTAAGTAGTTATTATGGAAAGTTCATATCTTCAATGTGTTTTCACTTGAACTTCATATATACAGTTCATTCTTGCATGTTCATTTTTTCATGTCTCTATATACGGGCAAAGATATGGAAGACTTCTGTTTCATGCAAAGTATATGTTTCCGTTAGATAGTTTGTTTGTTACTAACTTGTTTTTTATTTTATGATGTTAATAAACAGAACAACAACATATGGAAACCAATCTTAGAGCAACTTTTGCTGGAGTTTCTGTTGTTTTGTCCTTCTGTGATGATGAACAAAATCATTCTCTTGACCCTAAAATTGGTCACAAGGGTGGATTACAAATTGATTATCTTGGCGCAGAGTGCAATGACATCATTCTTGCTTTACAGGTAAATTTTGCTTCTGTGCATTCTCCCAAAACCCCTAGCGTTCTCTTTACCCATGGTGCTTGCTTTGTGAGACCTATCTACCTATATCTGCTGTCTGCCACCTGATTTTAAATAGATTTCTCAATTCTAAGTTCATTGTAATCTCAACAGGCATTTCCTCAAGGCATGACACTTGATGGAAAGGTGAAGCATATAGAAGTTGCTAATATCTTGAACACCGGAATTGATGCCAAAAATCAAAGTGCTTTGGTTCAACACATCCAAGCTAAGGTCCTTGATGCTCTCCCTTTGTCTACCTCTTACAATCTGGATTCACTTTCATTAATTGAGCCAGGTGCAACAGATTTTCCATTTGTAAATAATGATGGCTTGCTGAAAGTTACATTGTTTAGAACTTCTGGTGTTACAAATTGTAAATTTTCAATGCAATCAAGTTCACCAGATGGTCGTTTGACTGGGTTGACTTCATTCTCACTGAACTTGCCCCCATTTATTTTCTGGGTAATATTTTCTGTAATAAATGTGCTTATGAATCTGCTAGAGGAGGTTGAAAAATCACTTGAAGTGCATGATAAAGGAAAGGAAATTCTGTCTGAAGCCTCAAATAACAAGTGTGGATCATCTCAGAGTGATGTGAAGGAAGGTTCTAGTACCTGTGTGACATCCTTCTCCACAACAGAATGTGTGCATGGTGATATATCAATTACTAATGCAAGAGTGTTACTGTGTTTTCCTTCTAAAGGTGATGGGGATCATACTAATTCATATTCCTGGGAACAGTTTATTGCTCTTGATTTTACTTCATCATCACCTTTAAAGAAGGGTTGCACTGTGGATGATAGTCAAACTTCAAATGCAAATCTGGACAAAAGATTTCCTTCAGTTTCTGCACAATCTCTTCAATTGAATTTTTGTGATCTGGACATCTTCTTGATCACATCAACAAGTAATGAGAATGGTAGTAGAATCATCTCAAATGATGTGCAGAATAAGAAATTTTCTGCTAGTTGTTTCCTTTCTATTTTTCGTAGAAGGGGGTGTTTCTCTGTTGTTCGTGTTGTTAGGCAAGGGGGTCAAGTGACTGGTACTTGGATTGCTAAGAAAGCCAGATTATTTGCTAATTCCGAGCAATCAATGAGCAAAGATGATATTGGAGGAAGAGGGTATGAGTTTGCGTCTGCATCAAAGGTAAAATATATGGAAGATTGGAAATGCCAAACTCAGCAAGAGATGATTCTAAGCTCATCATTTCTCATGCATGTTCATCTATCTCAAGTTGTGATTAATGTGAATGATTCTCAGTATAAAGGCATACATCACCTTTTACTTCAGATGCTAAATTCATTGACATGTGTGACTTCTAAGGAAGTCAATGTTGAGAAGGAATCTTCTGTCTCACAATCGTCAGTATTTATGGAAAGTGATTCTGTAGAAATTCGTATTAATAGGGATACATCTGAGAGTATCAGAAGTTCAATCAAGAGTGAGCTTCCTGGAATGTGGCACCAATTCAGGTTGAAGGTTCAAAAGTTTGAGTTACTGTCTGTCACTAATACTGGTGGTGTTAAGGCTGCTAGTTTCTTCCGATTAACCCATGGTGAAGGCAAGTTGTGGGGGTTCATCACTGGAGTTCCTGATCATGAGTTTCTTCTGATTACATGTTGCAGCTCCTCTACGAAGCGTGGTGATGGAGGAGGTTCTAATGCATTATCTTCTAAATGTGCTGGTTCTGATATCATACATCTGTCTGATCCAGAGATTTCCTGTAATCTTACATCTATAACTGTCAGCTGTGGTACAGTTATTGCTGTAGGTGGGCGTTTGGATTGGTTTGATGCTATATCATCCTTTTTCAGTTTGCCTGCTTCTAATACCAAAGATGCAGGTGATACTAATACTTCAAAGAAGAAACGTAATCTCTCTTACACAACTTCTTTTGTTCTCAGCTTGATTGATATTGCTTTGAGTTACGAGCCCTATATGAAGAATCTTATGGTTCAGGGTGACGTCCTCAATTCAGAGTCTGGCTTTTCTTCTGTCAAAGATGTGTGGGAACAATGTGTTTCTTGTTTGTTGGCTGCATCCAACTTAACTCTTTCAAATTCATCTTCAGCAGATACAGTTCAAAGTGTTTTTGAAATCAGAGTGCAAGACGTGGGGCTTCTGCTTCATTTAATGTCAGAGATGAATTTTCTCTCTGGCATTTATAGTGTTGAACATCTTCGAAAAACTGGGTATGTTAAAATTGCTCAGGAGGCATTTATGGTGGCTATTTTGAAAACAAACTGTGTTAATGGTCTTCTTTGGGAGCTGGAATTGTCTAAATCTCACCTTTATGTGGAAACTTGCTATGATACAACTGCTAATCTGATTCGTTTGGCTGCTCAACTTCAGCAATTATTTGCCCCTGATGTGGAGGAATCTATTGTGCATTTGCAGAATAGGTGGGATAATGTTCAACAGGCACAACAAAGAAATGAATTTAAAAATGAAAGTAATAATCTCAGATGTGACTCAATGTCTTCAACTTCTGAACAGTGCTCCCCTAAAAAATTTTCAATGGATGGATCTAGTATAATCAGCTTGATGGATGAAATATGTGAAGATGCATTTCAAGTAAATAACGATAATACATGCCAATCTTATTCTGTTGAGTCAGGATTTTGCATGCCGCTTGATGGAAGCTTAATTGAGGTTGGTCAGATGAATTTGGATGAGCCTGAAGTTCTCTATCATGAATTAACTCTAACTGATTCAGTGCCTGTAATAGGACCAGAAGGTAGTCACACTGCATTTCTGCAAGAGGGTTGCTTACCAGAGATTATTGAAAGCTATTGTTTGTCTGATTTACACCCTCTGTCAGAGCTATCTTTAGGTGTACATTCTGATCAGCTTTCTAGACACAAATTGAGGAATGTGGCACATGGAGAGATTGAAAGAGGATGTGGTGGATGGTATGGGGGAACCCCTTTAAAAGTATTAGAAAACCACATTTCGGAGGAAAATGAACAAACTGGATTAGTAAAAGCTGCAGATCATCAACTTATGCTTGCATCTAATGATAGTTCATCACATAGTGAGACTTGTGGACGTGTAATTCTTAAGAAAATTGATATAAGATGGAGAATGTATGGTGGTTCTGACTGGCTTGACTCTGATAAAAATGGGCACCATTCTGGGAGAGACACATCTGTTTGCTTGGAACTTTCATTGTCTGGGATGAAATTTCAGTATGATATATTTCCAGTTGGTGGACTACGTGTATCTAAGATGTCTGTATCTGTTCAAGATTTTTATCTATATGACAGAAGCCAAGATGCACCTTGGATACTGGTAATCATGAAAGTTTGGTTGCTTTAAATTACATGACTTTACATCAAACATCTTGGAGTCTACAAGTTCTAGGTTTTAATATTTCTTTTTTTAATTGAAAGGTACTGGGATATTATAACTCAAAAGGTCATCCTAGGGAGTCTAATTCAAAAGCTTTTAAATTGGACTTAGAGGCAGTGAGACCAGATCCCCTTACTCCCCTTGAGGAGTACAGGTAAAGTGCTATAATACCATTCTGACATTTTTGTCGGTGATTATATAATCTATCTGTCTGTAAACCTCATAATCAGTTGTGACTGAAAATAGGCTGTAGCCTGACTGCCTGACTGGTTTGGGAATTGCTTCAACTTTCTTCAAGTAGTTGTGAACTTGTAGCTGGGGGACTCGGTCCTTGAGGCTACAAACATTTTGGTTATGGCTTATGATGTTTGCTGCCTGCTTCCTTATAGCTTTACATGGAAATTACATTGTTTATGACAATTTTCAGGGCTATCTATTTGTGTTATTATATATGTAGATATATTAGATAACCTGATGTTTCTTCACAACTAAAGTCCACGTGATGGCATTCCCTAAAAATTTTTAAATAATATATTGGAAAAGTAAGTATGAAGTTCCTCATACATTAAGTAAGTGTTTCTCTTTCTCCTTTTCAGGTTAAACATTGCTTTTCTACCTATGCGATTACATCTACATCAATGTCAGCTTGATTGTCTTGTTAATTTCTTTGGGAGAAAAAACACATCGAGTGATCAGTTTCCTAATAATTGTCAAGATTCAGAGGCTTCAAAATCACCTGATAAGACTCAGAAGAGTAAAGATCTTGCATTTCATTCAATTGCACAAGAGGCACTGCTTCCTTACTTCCAGGCAAGTGGTGTTCTATAACGTGATAAAATTTATAATTTTTTGTTTTTTTATATTTTTGGACTGTATAGTGTTCTGTGCTGTGCCTGGAGGTTTATAAAGGAATATGAAAAATCCAATTTATATACCAATCAATCCAGTTTCTGAACTTAGCTGAAGAAATTTTATCCCTGATTCAATTGGACATGTTGCTCCCATCTATTTTGTCATTGTATTTTGGTGAGTATCAAGTTCAAGGAACACTTATGAATTTATGATCTAATAATCATCTGACATGATACAGGACATGTTAATTTTATAAGTTTTTTTTTTTTCCTAGTTGGTCATATTAATTTGTTCACATTTTAATTTTGGTTTCAGAAGCTAGATATATGGCCGATTCATGTTCGGGTGGATTACAGTCCCAGTCATGTAGATCTAGCAGCATTAAGACATGGAAAGTATGTAGAACTTGTAAATCTTGTCCCTTGGAAGGTAAATTTGCCTTTTTAATTTTTTATTGAATTTCTTTCTTATTTTTCATTACATTTTACTACCCTTCAGTGGACCCTGCCATGGTAGTAGCTTTATTTAGTTGTCTAATTACCCATCTTATCACCTGATGGGATCATTGTTGTAACAGTAGAACATCAATTTTTGCTATATTAATGGGCTGAGTACTAGTGACAGACAGGTTCTGTTTTTATTTAAGTTACAAGGGGTGTACAGTATTCCTCTATCTCCTAATTTTGTCAGTATCCAGATATTATTTCAAAACCACTCTCTTTTAAAGTGAGCTTCATGTGTATAGACACTCAGATATGAGGATTTTATATTACTGTCACAACGGCAACTCTGGTTGTGTCCTCTGAAAATCATCTAAATTTATTTCTGATAATTATTGTGAAAATAAATTCTTGTGATTTGTTGCCAAAAGTGAAATTTACATAAATATAAAATAGGTTCTTAGGGCATGTTGTTGGAATTCTATGATAATGTTTGTATAATTCCCAGGGGGTTGAACTTAACCTGAAACATGTTCATGCTTCTGGCATCTATGGTTGGGCCAGTGTTTGTGAAACTACTGTAGGGGAGTGGTTGGAAGATATATCTCAGAATCAGGTATGCTAACTGGGATTATATTCTTTGATCTCAGGATTACTTTTGAGCCCTTTTCATTTATGATTTTCAATATGTAGATTCATAAATTACTGCGGGGGCTTCCTACTGTACGGTCATTGATTGCAGTTGGAGCTGGTGCTGCTAAGCTGGTCTCATCACCTGTAGAGAGCTACAAGAAGGAGCGGAGAGTGCTCAAGGGTATGCAGAGAGGTAGGTTAGATTGCTAGATATATCTTTGCTAGTTGTACCTGTATAATTTGGCTATATTGAGGATATAAAATCTAAGCTGCAATAGCAGAACTTATCATAATGTTTATCTGAGATATCTGTTGGTAATGCTGACATTTCTGAAAGTCAGTCCCATAAGTATTTATTTAGATATTGCAACTTTTATGGCTTTCATTATCTTTATGATTGACAATATCCTAATTTGTATCTTTCACTAAATATTTTCCTTCTTGATGAAAGATGAAACTGCTATCTTCAATTGTTTATGACAATAAGATTCTTCTGCTATCACTGAATCTAATATAATTATAGTTTCTTATAGTGTCAGCTGCAGTGACTGAACGATATGGTGGAATGGAGTTTAGTACCCTAGTTTCAATTAGTTATGAATACTGATTGATGCCAATCTCTAGTATTGCGTTTGGGGAATAATTGATTATTTGAAGTTTGTTATTTAACTAAAACTAATTTAAAAATTTATTATTTTTAAAGTTAACATTATAAAATTGTGGTGGACATTCTTAAATTGTGATAAGGATTTGCTGATTGCTTAGGTTGTCTGAAAATTCAAAAACAGGTTTTGATTTTCATTTTGAGAAGTTTAAAGTCTTTTTATTAGTAAGTGAATAAGCAGTTACCCATTAACCACACTTTCTTTATACATTGTTCGCTAGTTGCTTTGTTGTTACTGAACTATAAATATTCTTTATGAAAAATTCCTCATTTATAAAGAATGTTTTTTTGTTGTAAATAATATTCCATAAAATTTACTTGGTGGATGAAGCTGTCTTGATTGAGGAGTCAAGGATAGAGGTTAATTCTAAATTTAAACTTTTGAGATAAAATTGGACTTAAAGAGTTTTTGCTTGAGTAGAAAATAGAAACAAGAGAATATACATTGCAATTTCAGTAAGAAATGTAATGAAAATGCTTTGGAGGTTAAAATTGGAGATAATGTCATATCACAAGTTTCTTAGTTTAGGTATTTGAGATCTATTTTATAGAATGATTAGAACATTAACAAACATGTGTATCAGGTGATTAAAATGTTGAAATGTATCGATAGTTATTTATGACTACAAACTACCTATTAAGTTTAGAGGGAAGTTTTATCAAACTACAGTATAATCAACTATCTTTTATGGTAGTGAAGGTTGGAATAGACTTTATGTGAGAAGAGTGGGAGTAGTAAAAATGATAACGTTAAAATGGATGTGTGGTCACATGAAGAAATACAGGATAAGAAATAGTTGTATACAGGAAGAGATTGAAGTACCACATACTGAGGAGAAAATGACAAAATTGGTTAAGGTAGTTTCAACATGTGTAAAGGTCAATCGAGGCATCGCTGATTTTATTTCTTTAGCCCTATGCAAAGAGTAAAGATCGAAGGACCTCAGAGGAAGTCATCAAAAGAAATATCGTAATAAATATTTCTGAAAATTTGGTTTTAACATTGTTTGATTCATGTAGATGACTTTACCTAGTGAGATAAAACTTTGTTGTTGTTTGAATGTGGGACATGTAACTTTGGAGGACTAAATTGAGGTTACTCTTTTATAATAACTACTATTTGTATGGTTATAAAATTGTTTGATTTGTTTTCTGGATGCCTAAATTCTAATGTTAATTTGCCATAGTTTGAATCACTTTTCAGTAATGCTAAAAAATCTTTGTAGGTACAATTGCCTTTCTTCGTAGCATTTCTCTTGAAGCTGTTGGACTTGGAGTTCATCTAGCAGCTGGAGCCCATGACATTGCAGAATATATTCTCGCAAGCATACCTTCTCCAGTTCCTGTACCTGTAAAAGATAAATCAAAAACAAGTGTTCGATCTAATCAACCTAATGATGCCCAAGAAGGAATTCAGCAGGTGAAATGTCATGTATTGTGTTTCTCTTCTGTTATGCCTGTGTTACATGGAAGGTATAAAAAATGCATGTAGTAAAAATACACTAGATGAGTAGTTTGGAGTTGCTTGTGGCAAATTTAGCACCTATTTGTCTTGTTGCAACCATCTGTTTATTGTTTGGTAAGTTGCTTGTATCATCACATAATGTATGCTTAAATTTCAATTTACTGATTCCCTTGGACATGGGAACATTGATGCTTGGACAATAACAGAAATTCATTTTGGTCTGTAGTTTTTTCCTGACTATATTAAGGTTATTTCTTTTGAATTCACAGGCTTATGAGAGTCTTAGTGATGGCCTGGGGAAATCTGCTGCTGTGTTAGTTCAGAACCCCTTGAAAAAATTCCAGCGTGGTTCAGGTGCTGGACCTGCCTTGGCTGCTGCTGTTCGAGCAGTTCCTGCAGCTGCCATAGCTCCTGCTTCAGCTTGTGCCAGTGCTGTACACTGTACTCTCCTTGGATTTAGAAATAGGTCTGTCATAAAGTTGACTTGATTTTAAATGATTCTTTCTCAGTTGACAATTTCTTTTTTCAGTAGCTCTTGAATTCTCCGAAACTGGATATAACCATTGTTTTTCTCCCTCCCCCTTTGCAGCCTTGATCCTGAACGTAAAAAGGAGTCCATGGAGAAATATTGTCCAACACAACCCTGGGAAGAAGACTGATTAATGGTGCCGTTTTTGACATGTTATTTTGTCTTGTGATAAATGGCATTACAATTTTAACACTAAATATTTTTTAAAATCTGTTTGCAGAATTGCAGATTGTTATGTGAGGATTGACTTAGGTGATACAGCTTTACTGATCAAGCAGATTCAGAAGAGCATTTTTTAATCTGCTTGGCAGTCTCCCGTGTATCATGTGAGTTGGGCCCTCTCTTGTTAGAAGATAAGAAAAAATGCACTTTATCAATTGAAGTTAGGTGCATGAGAAAAAACTTTGGCCTGTTTATTTGAATGTCATTGCAAGATGATATGATAGCTACTATTGAACTGACATTTCTTTATGCTATTCTCTTTATGCATAAAACTTTCTGCTAAATGTATGAGTTATTTTTAAACATTGATTCCTGAACATTGTTTTTGGAGAGAGTATTTTTAGGAATAAAGTCATTTTTAAAGAGCTGTGACTTGTGTGTCTTAAGCTGTAGATTGAGTTCTTATTTATGCTTGAAGTGTTATTTGTGTCTCATTTCTCACTTCTAAATATGTGCATTGACTGCAGATGTACAGTAACAACCAGTCAGTTGATTCTTTTCTATCGGAGATTCAGAGTAATTGTATATGCTGTAAATATGGATGGTGCTTGTTAATCCTATTCTTATTCAAACGGATGTCATTGAGGTGTAATGACCCCATTGGTGTAGCTAGATGTACATAATAATATATTATCATTCTTTGAAAACCTTGATATCTTTGTATATTGCGTTTATTCATTGTAAATAGTGTATCTTGTTTAATACTCAGTAGTGTCCAATCATTTAATTTTACTTTGTGGTTAGTACAGGAACTGTTGATAATGCAGTCTCTTAATGATAAGGCAATTACATGTTGCCAATGATTGCTGGCAATGCTTTTCTGACAATAATGATGAAGAAATGCTTTTTTATTATTGCCAATTGCTGATTTGTGTAGTTAATTCTTTTATGTGCATTTTTTATCCGGAATAGGTGCTATTTGTACAAGATCTATTGAATTGTTGGCTCTTGGCCGTACTAGAGGCCTCATTTAAACTACGGCTGTAAATTCTTGTTTTCAACGAAAATTGGCTTACTAAAAGCGTGTACTGTAGAGATATGTTTTGGTCAACTTGTTCTATGTTTAGTAGTGTGGTATTAATAAGACAGGATAATGATTTATGCCATGGTGCATAAGGAAATTTCAACCATTGAGGAACAAACGTTAAGGGGTTGGATTTCAATAAATCTATGATTTGTTAATCATGTGCATGTCATATTAATTTGATTTTTAATTGAATTCAATAACGCGTGATTAGTATGGTCAATTTTATTTAGAGAAATAAAGGTTGTTATTGTTGTGCTTGTCATATTAATCATTAATTTTTTTGATCCAAGGTTGAGACTTTTACTTTATTTTTCTTTATAGTGAATAACCTCTGAGGAGGGAAATTTACTGCATAAAATGCGTCCACATACATCCCCCAGCTATTAAAGAAAGAAGTCGCAGTCACTTATAGCTTATTCCACGTCTTTCGTTGGAGCATAAGAATATAATTTGGTGGAAAACATACCTTCTCACCCCCGAACTTAAAAGTTTGTATGTTTCTTTTTTGATTCAAGTACGTCAGTATCGGGGTGGTTACTTTTTAGTCCCTTCTTCCCTTTTTGTGCCATTTGCACATTCTATTATTTTTTGAAATTTAATTTTCCGAGGCATGTATTATACCTTTCTGAGTTAAATTTTGAAAGTCATTTGTAAATCATTTTAAATTTTTTAAGGTAATTTATATTTTTTAGAAATTAAATATAGAAAGTTAGTTATATATCACTTCTGGAATTTAATTTTAAAAGTGATTTTATACCTTCCAAAAAATTATATTCTGAAAGTAATTTATAAACGACTTTTGAAATTTGATTTTTAGAATCTACTAAGCACATTTTTAGAAATTAAACTTTAAAAATGATAATAGAAGTAGCAAAATGGGTGGTACAAAAAGCAATTTCTGTATCAGTAGGTTTTTTCGGTCGTGTGTTTCTTTTATCTTTTTGGTCGATGATCGTGTATTTCTGTATCAGTTAACTTGTTCAAAATTCTGTTTTTTGGACTATCATCAAACGGACCTCCTGTAGTTTTCTTTTTGGTCAGGTTAAAGGTGCACGTTATTCAGACCAAAAAAAGAAAAAAAGAAAGATGCGCGTTATTTTCTCCATCTCTTTCATCCACTGCTCTGTTGTCATTTGCCTTTTCAACTAAAAACAAAGCTATGCATCCTACATAGCCCCTTCCCCTCCCACCCCCCCCCCCCCCTTTTTTTTTTTAAAAACTTTAAACCATTTGAAAGCCATTTAAATTACATTCAAAGCAAAATCGCGGTCCAGTGATTATTGTAATGAAATAAATATTTCAGAGGCTTAGGTGAAAGTACACAAATTATTTTATATTTAACATGTTCTTACACACGAGAGAGTCTTTTAGACTTGATGATTGAAAAATAGACTTATATTACTTTGAATTAAAGAATGAGGACAAAAGAGATCAAAACTTGCATGTGATCATGTAGGTGTTCATATCATGTAAAGATGAAGAGAAACAATGGAAATCTATGTATGCATTGTATAGCAAAGGTTCTATTTCATGAAGTTAATTTAATACTTATAAAAATTATAAACATTCTAATTACTTCCTTGGTTCATAAATAATAAGTATTGATCTAGAATATTGTATTATGATTAAGAAAATCCTAAATTCTAGAAAAAAATATCATAGATTTCAGTTATTTTTTTCTTGGTAGCATACATTATTAATACTTTATCTCTTAAAAAAATATAAATATATTTTTTATATATTACTTTCTTGATTTTATTTTTTTAATTTTTATCCCTTAACTTATAAAAGTATTTTATATATTTTTTTTCATAAAAAAGCGTTCACTTCATTGATTATTATCTTTCTTTTATTTTTTTTTCTTATGAAGTGTGACAAAAACATAATATAATTTATCAAATTTTTTATTTGCTTTTTTTTTCTTCTTATTTCTCTCTTTTTTCTTCTTCCTTTTATCCTTCATCTACATCTCTTAAATTGTTTTACCTTTTTTTTTTTAGCTCCGGCAACAAATTCTTTGTTTTTCTCCTCACTTTTCTTTTTCTTTCTCTTATCCATCATCCAAACCTATTCTCTTTTCAAACTCTAATAAAACATTTCTTTTTTTCTTTAAAAAATATAATAAAACATTCTTTAACTTAAAAGCCTGAATTTCTTTAAATCTCTCGTTAAAATATCTTCATTTTCTAAAGAGAACTCAATATCCTTTTCGAAGTCATAGTGTTTTAGTAATGACATGGATTTAAGTTTATAAAATTTAAAAATTTACTGCATATCTTAGAGAAGCAATTGTTGAATTTGTCAAAATATATTGAGGAGAAAAACACAAAAAGAAATATTAGAAAAGAAATGATAATTTTTTTTAAGAGGGAGACAACGGGTTGTTGATATATAGAGGTTAAACTAATAGATTAGTCCCCTAACTTTTAATTTTGTTTTGTTTTCTTCTTCTAACTTATTTTTTCTCATTTTGATTCCTTAACTTACAAGTGTTCTAAATAAGTCTTTTTCTGTAAAAAATGTTAACTTTATTGCAAAATCACTATTTATCTTCTTTTTCCTTATGAACTCCCATGGAAACATAATATATTTTGGCAAATTTTTTTGTTGACTTCTTTTTTTCTTCTTCCTCATTTTCTTCTTTCTCTATTTTCTCATTTACACCTCCACAACTTGTTTTTCTCTCCCTTTGAAGGTCAACAAAAATATTTTCCTTTCTCTTCCTCCTGTTACCTCATTCACACTCTTTCTCCCTTTGAACTTCAAAAATTTTCTCCTTTTTTGTTGGATTTTTCAATTGAGTCTTGCTTCATCAATTGTGTTAAGCATGTAGAGACTTCAAAGAATGTTTGCAAGTGTAGAAGAAGTATTGGGCCATCTACCCCATAGTCCCCCACCTTCAATTATTCAAAGTAGGTTTATATATATTTTCTCGCAGTTCTCATAAAGCTTAAACACAGTATATTTGTCTTCTCAATTTTATTATTCATTACATTAATGCACTTATATATATATATTGTACAATATAAACTCTTCAACTAGCTTGGCTTGCTCTTTCAGTACATTACTCAGACTTAGTCGATGTTACTTTTTCTTTTAATTTCCTCGTATATCTTTATCCCCCTCCCTCAAGACAAACGTAACACAGGAAGAAACTTTCTCACATGATATGATATTAAAGCCAACAATATATTGGAGAACTTGCTTAGAAGCAGTAAAAGGGGAAAAATGCTTGACAACCTAGAGGGATAAATAGCAACTAACAAGTCACAACATATCGAGCAAAAGTCACAACTACAGGATGTACTACCCACAGAAATATTCGTTGACTAATAGAAGTCCTTCAACTGCAAATTTTTGTACAAAGATCAAAATGCTCGAGGTATTGTCTTTCTACTACAAAGGTGGGGAACATAACTTAGGTTAAATTCAACTTCACTGAAAATAAAGTCAGCCCAAATTCTAATAATTAATGCCTTTAGATATTAGTAGAATACCATCTCCTCCTTGAGAAGTGAATGCTGCTCCTGTGGAGTTCACTTGCCCCTACAACTTACACCACCTTCATAATACAGTTCCTGCGATAAGAAAGGACTCATTAAGATTGGATGTATAAATGTAAGAGGGATGCTGTTAACACATATTTTAACACATTTTATGTGATTTATCAATTGTTTAAAAAATTTTAATATTTAAAAAAAATGAATTTACGAGATATTTGACTTTCTTAAAAACTGACTTGTCACCAAAGCGTGTTGAAGAATGTATTTACATGAGTGTGTTGCTAGGTAAACATGATACTACCTTCAGGTGAATAAACAAAATAAAATTAGAAGAGATGGATATATAGGTTCACATCTTACCATATTGTCTTTGCTAATAGTTATGTCTCCTTGTCCAAAACTAGACCCTTTTTCATCAGCAACTACTCTCTGAACAAACCCATCACTCTTATTCTTATCTTTCTTAGATGAACCCCTCTTGAGGCCTAACCGCTCCTTCCACCGGCTTGAACTCTTTGGTAATCTTGGTAAGTCCTCTTCATAGTCATCATTAACAAGCAACTCATCCCTTAAAGTCACCTTCTTGGAGCAGTCACTCTTCAGAGGCAAAAGCATGCCTTGGCAGAACACCTCATCTGCTGATATCATAGAATAGCTCTTGACTGAGAATTCGAAATCCGAAGAGGCAGGAGCTTCTCTGTATATATTTTCATGCTTGATTGCTTGTTGGGCCACCACAAAATCATTGGAGAAGGATATTCTTGGGTCCATGGTTGAAGCTCATACACTGCACAATTTGCTGCTTATAAAGAATGGACATTCATGTGGCAAAACACTATATTATATATATCTTGTGTTGGTTCAGTTTGAAGGGTTAGTTTCCACATGCAGATGTTTGCCCTTATATAATGATGGTGATTCTATTATGTGTGTGTATTTAGTGGACATAACATGTTACTTAGATTTGTCATTTTATGCTAGGAATGTGGGTCTTCACTTTAAAATCTTTACTCTTTAGCTATTGCCTATGTAATTCCGCACCGTGAATATGAGTGTCCACTTTTGCCAAAGGATATATATAATTGACCAATTGTAGCATAATGATTATAAAATGATGTTTGCCCTTTATCTTATTTAAGACAAAACTGATGCTGGACAACAGGGGTAACGACATTACTTGCCGATGATTTTGACTATTGTGACCAGAAGAGAAGAAAGCATTGATTTAATTAGTAACTTCAAAATCTAAAGTTTCCCTTATTAGTTTATGCGTTTGACGTGGAATGAATGAGTAATTACTTACTGATTAAGCTGATGAGTGCCTTTAACAAGTGCCATGAATAACATATCATGTGCAGTTGATTTGAAAGCTCAATATTTAGTTCAAGTAATTGTCAAACTTCAGATATACATACTAGCATGTGTCCCATTGGTTCTTGAATGAGTATATGAAAATGATGAGATGCGTAAAAAGGATTAATATTTATCGTTTTCATATAAATACCATTTTGATAGATTATATATATATATATATATATATATATATATATATATTGAAGCAATGTTATAATGTTTAAATAATTTTAAAAAATAAAACATTTCCTAAAATATTGATCTCTTTAAATGGTGATCGAGTAAGAGGGGAAATAAATAAAATAAGTGAATAAAGTAGATGCTCACAGTAATTGAAGTCCATGTGGGATTAGTCAGATTATTTATTATAAATAGCATGTCTATATTCTTCTCTTCTTTTGTCAATTGGGAAGGCTAGTTGCAAGCACAAGAAGGAAACAAAGTACATATACGAATTAAGAAATGCAAGACTAATAATTCATGATGCCAAAGAATCTTTCAATTGAACTATTGACCTTCACGTGTTTCTTTTCAAGTGTCCTTCACATGAAATCCCCATCCTCAGGGTGGACTTGGGAGTTTTATATATATTACTTGGCTATTGAGCTTAGGACAAATGGTCGCATCCACTTCGTAGATTGTTGTTAGCACTTAGCAGCAGAAGATTTAATGAAATTCACCACATAGGTTGCTCGGAGTAAAGTTAGGCCTGAGAGCTTGTCCCCCTTATGGTCTCCTATCCTGTTAGCAAAACTTGTCTCTTGTTATCCAATAAATGATGCTTTTAGTCATTATTATTCTAATCTAATATCATATACACACTCAACGCTCGAGGCTAATTTTACTATGTCAGTTGAGAGGCCCTCTAATTTATTTTTTGGGTGGCATGCATGAATCTTGCTCAAAACGTAACATGGTCATCTCTCTGGAATATCCTACTAAAAGGAGTTATAAACTTTTAATTACTTTATTTAATTCTGTGAAATATGGTTGTTTTCCATTGGTTAATTGCTGGATTAGTCTATACAATAAGCAGTGAAAATATATATAAAATTGATTCTACCCTGACAAAAACACAACATCTCCAACTCAGATCATGTTTGATAAAAGATAAAAGAGTGATACCTGTATCGTATACGACACACTTTTTTATAAACAGTACAAGTAACACACACACATAAACTAAATACAAACACGCCTTGACAGCAAAGGTCGAATCTATAACACCAAGCATACAATGACAAAACTTAACCAATGATATGTGAACCCAAAAAACTCATTAGCATGCTTATACAGTGCCATTTGACAAAGTTTTGATGCAAAATCATCAGTAAAACTTGTAGTTCAGTTTCAACCCATCTCATTGGGTATCCTTTCTCAAATTTAAGTACATCATTTTCTAGATCTCTGTAGGGATCTGTTTTTTTATTTTTTTTTCTGGGTTAATATTATTGTCGTGTGAACGGATGTTCCAGTGGTTGAAACCCTAGCACAAGTGACCATAGCTTTACAATTAAGCTCAATCTAAGATGAGATTATGAGAATCAAGTTCCATTTTCTCGAGACATACGAATCTCAATTTTTAAAGAAGATAATAACCACTTTATAGCCTCCACTAGGTTGGCGAGAAAATGTACAACCCTTAACTCATCCGTATGACTTCCTTGGCAACTAATTAACTTCAATGAATAATCAACCTCGGTTACCAATGACATCTTTAAAGTAGGTGGTTAGGGCAATTTCCTGACTACTTTGCTTAACATATTTCACTTGAATGCCCATGATTTACATGTTACTATTTTGGTCTTTTTAAAAAAAAAAAATAGAGTATTTTCTTAGTTTTTATTATAAAAAATAAATGATAGATTGAAGATGTATTAATTGTTAATTTTTTTAATGTTTTTATTAATATAATTAAATATACAAATTACTAACTATATCATTTAATATTATGATTATTTTTTAAATAAAATTTATATTTATAAAAAACATAACTGACTTAATTACTTTTCTTAATCTTAATAATTTAATCTTTTATTTCTTATAAAAATAACTCTAGGTAGTATTAAATTACTCTATAACTAAGCTAACAAGCAAAAGAAAAGAAATCAAATTAATTGATGGTGGGGATGCTTAGCCGATTATCTGGATCATTCTTGCCCCAACTCATTACAAAAAAAAAAAGGAGGAGAAAAAAGAACAAGAAGAAATCCAATCCTCGGTTTCACCCAAGAAAGCAAGAAAACAGAAAGGGAAAAGGTTGAACCATAAGATTGACACATACACTGACACCAAAATATAAAACGGTCGAACAGCAATGATCCTTTGATCTGAAAACTGAAGGAGCAGGTAGAAAAAATGACACACACACTCTTCAAACTCACTCAATTTTTGTTGATATTGACAACGTTTATATGAACTTAAACCCAAAACATGAACTCAACCTGACAACTATTGCATGAACTTAACCCTAAAATATATATTTAACGCAGTTATTATATTTGGAGGTTGTCTCTCTGTGGAGTTATCCCAACAATAGCTTTATGATAGGTCTATATAATATGGAATGGTTATGATTAATTAATTTGTAGTTATCACAACAATTATAATATTACTAGGTGGGAATCTTAATTGCGAGTTTATACCACTACAATATGATGCTGAAACGTCATACTTGTTACACAGGTCCTGGGGCTCAATGGATGTTGTGGTGTGTATTCTAACTAAGCCAGGTAAACTTAAGAGAGGAAAACGAGCATGGAGAAGAAAGTGATTGTGAGAGGGTGAAGTTGAGTTGAATGGTGGGAGATAGAACTTCGTAAATATGCTAAGGTTTAAATTTGATACTGAAGAGTCTGATGATGAAGATATATTTATGCTGGCTTAATTATAGATGAAAATGAATAAGTTGATGGTGTAAAACTATTATTAAAAATTTTAATGATCAAGTAGTAAATATGGAAGTTGAAAATGAAGAGTTCTGCAAAAATGAATGGAATGAGCACCCACTAGCTAGTTAGGTGGCATGCTGGCTTATGAAGCTCAGATGCCTAAAACCCAAAATGACCACAATTCAATGATAAAATAGACATTGCTCACGCAAGATTTGGGAAGGTATGGAGTTTTAGAAATGTTACTTCATTCAGAATTGCGTAGAGGGCACTATATTAATGAAATTATTGACTAAAAATGGGTAAAAGATGAACGGCATAAAATATATTGCAAGAATGAGTGTGATTGGAGGAACTATATGCACTTGAGAACAAGGGAAACAATTTCATTTAAATAAAAACCTCGTTATCCAATTGCACAAGTGGTTGAACAAAGGATAATACCCATGTGGCCCCTACATATTTTGCTCAAAAGTTTCGTAAGAATTCGTAGAGTAACCTTGAGTGAAATGTGATAAGTAGCCAAAAAAATGCGAGGAAAAAGATAGGCGTTGATAGTCAAGCATACGAAGAAAAAGAATCGACAGAAAAAATCGAAGGAAAAGATGAAGAACAATATTCCAAGCTGTACACTTTGCCTAGATAATAAAACCATGAATCTTGGGTGCATTGTTAAAATAGTGTGCCAGACAGTTATGGAAAGGGGACAGCTAAGGTTCTTGCTAATGTATGCGAGGTTCCATATGCTCAAAGTCAAAATATTAGTTTTCTAGCATGTTGTAACGTTACGTCTTTGATGCTTGTCATTTATAAGGGGTCAATTTAGAGGTCAATTTTTGGCTGCAATAGGAAAGGGTGAAACCATAATAAATTTCCCATTGTGATTGCAGTGGTTGGGTCGAGTAAGAGTTACTAAAAGAACAAAGATTCATCATTCATGGGAGTGATATGTTTTACTTTAATCGCCTCAAAGTTCATGCCTTTGGTTTGGGTATTTGCCTGTTTGGTAGAGTGCTGTGTTTGAAAATTACAAGGCAAATAATTTTATTATTTAAAATATTAAAAATCGATACTTGATTATTCCTTTTTCTATTGTTCATTTATTTTTTTTATTTTTATATGCATGTATTTTAAAAAGACGCTTAAAAAACACAAAAAGGCATTTAAGGGTAGTCCCTATCATGTGTTTTTCGATGTATTTTTTAGTTAGATATATTTAAAGAAAATAAATAAGATAAAAAAATTATATGCAATATTACATACAATATCAAATTTTAGTATTTTAAACAGCAGATTTGCAAAGTAAATAGGCACATGATAGCAGTATAGAATGAATTGAACAAATGACAAAACCAAAAATTAATGATAAGGAATTGATAGTATAGTGGAGCAAAGTGTTTGTGTCCCAAATTACGGGAGATATAAAATGTAATTTACATTTATTAATATTAACTTTTAAAGAACAAAAGAGTGGATTCTTCTTTGATTCATTTTGCGCTGTTTAATTTGGAACAGTTTGAGGATTCAATATGTTACGAAATTAAGTCTGGTTCAAACATTATTATGGGCTAAAATAGCTGCAGACTTCGAACCTTGTTTTTTTAATTTCGGCTATGATCGAATTTGGCTGAGTTGATAGATAAGTTTATTTAATAGAAAAAAGTAATATAAAAAATAATATTTCTTTATAAATTAAAAATAATTTATTTCTTTAAATTTTAAAAGAAATTAAATGTGAATATTTCTAAAAAATGCAAAACCATAAATTAATTTTAACATAAGTTATTTAATTTTTATATCATTTTTTTTAATCTTTCAACAATTTATATAAAAATTCAAGCAATTCTACGTCATGACATATTAATTTAATATTTTAAAATTAGCAAAAGAGAAAGAAAAAAAAAGAAGGTGATCTTAATGCATACATTAAGATGGAACTAAAATTTCTTAAATTTATATCCAAAATTTTCATGATAAACATGGAGATGATTACTTGTTTATTTGCATATTTCCACTTTTCAAAGCAAGAAATTACAACCAGAAAAAAAAAAAATTCAACAAAATATATATTAAAAATATTATTTTCGGTAGAATAGGCATAAAGTTGAGATGGCCGAGTTGGTCTAAGGCGCCAGATTAAGGTTCTGGTCCGAAAGGGCGTGGGTTCAAATCCCACTCTCAACAAAAATGACTCCATGGCCCAATGGATAAGGCGCTGGTCTACGGAACCAGAGATTCTGGGTTCGATCCCCAGTGGAGTCGCATTTGTTTTTTTCTACACATGTTGAACATAGACAATATTATAAAAGTACAAACCTTGGGTTGTTAAACAGATATTATAAAATTTAATTAAGTTGTTTAATAACTCCGTGTGAAAGCTGCTACTTGCCTCATTTAATTAATTTTACTTAATATTTATTTTAACACGATTATCCTTGTCTCTCTGGCAACCCATTTTTGGGGACCCGAATTCTCTGCGGTCTTTTTTTCCTGAACTCACTGTAGTCATCAATCTTAACCGTTTATATATATATTTTTAAATTAAAATATTAATAGAAAATATAATTAAAGAGAATCAACGATGAAGATGCGATTGCACCCCCTATGGTCATTTTCTTGACTTCAGGGAATCCATTTTCCATTTTTGACCCGTGGGATTCAGATTACGGGTTTCCGAGACATGGTTTTCAGCTTGCATCATTGCATATAAAAAATTATTCTGGAGTAAGATATGAATCTGAATGCATATGATAGGAAATTGGGATGTTCCCTGACCGTGTCCAAGTCAAGTAATCACAAATTGTTTTCTCTTCCTAATATTTTCTAGGAAACATCATAGGACATGTTACATCTCCTAGCTTGTTTAATCTTAAGAAGGAACATGGTAATGCAATTATCTAAAATCTACAATTTCCTTGTTTTTCCTACACCAATTACTTATGCTAATATTCAAATACTTTAGTACTTTTCCTTGCGCAACAACTGATTATTAAAATAATCACAATGACAACGGTATCCCCTAACCATCTAGTAGTTAAAATCTGAAGTGCCCTATTTATACCCTAAACAAGGAAAGGTTTGTGTTGGCTACAGGGAAATCACAGTAACAATCATTCTAGCTAAAATGTATCCTGCAGTAAATGAAAATGATGAGAGCTATGCAACTCACAACAACTATCCTGCCTATGCTCAACCAGTGGTGGCATTTCCAAATTATGGCACTCCACAACCACAACCTGGTGCTCCTCCATACATCGGCACCAGTGTGAGGGGTCGTATGACACAGCAATGGACAACTGGTCTTTGTCATTGTCTTGATGATCCTGGAAATTGTAAGAACTCATAAATCATGTGAATTCATTTTCCTCTATAACGTCAAGCAATTGATATATAGTTATTATTATTTTTCTTAAGGCTTAGTCACTTGTTTCTGCCCTTGTGTTACGTTTGGATTGATAGCAGAAATAGTAGATAAAGGCACTACAAGTAAGTTTCTGAACACTGCATAGAGTTATATATCATGGTTATATTATATACTTGTATAGTTATATCTTTTGCTGTTTGTTTTTATATCTACAGCTTGCGCTTGTTGTGGAACTATATATGGAACACTGCTAGCTTTTACTGGGCTTGCATGCTTGTACTCTTGCAGTTATAGGTCCAAACTAAGGGTTCAATATGATTTGCCAGAGGCTCCTTGTATGGATTGCTTAGTTCATTTCTGCTGTGAAACTTGCGCTCTATGTCAGGAGTATAGAGAGCTTAAAAACCGTGGATTTGACTTGAGCATAGGTAATACCTTCTTACTTCAAATGCTTTCACTGATTCTTCAACTTGTGATTGACAATATATTGTCACTCATCAACATAAGGGTCTCTACCATCTTAACTATTTTTTTTTATTCTGATCTCCATATTTCTTTTCTAACTGTTTTTGATGTATTGAGGGAGAATCTTAGTGATGTGAGTTGTCTGATATCACATGGGTTTGCTGGCTAAATATTGCTTTTGAATTTTTTCCTATAAGTGCAGTTTAAAAATTAGTGTTATAATAAGGTCGATCTATTATATGAATTTTCACTGGGACAAAACTTGGGGTTATTAAAGTGAAATTATAGTTGTAATTGGAGAATAAAACCAAAAAATGCTTAAGATATTGCACTTCCATTCTGATCAGATTGGAGAGGCACAAAATTAAAATTTCCCCCCCCCTGATAGATTGACTTTTTTTGTGCTGATTTTTAGGTGTCTCGATATAATGAAACCTTTGTCATCTTTCACGCTCTAGATCTTTCTTTACTAATTCATTGCTTTTCATAAACCTCTTGGAACTGGTATATATTGAGGCCTATAAATATTTTAACCCAAAAAGCACTTGTAAGTTGAGGTTGCATATAATATTTAGAGATGATAATTATAAAAAGCAGCAAGCTACATTCAATTCTACCGATACGAAAGGTTGACAATTGAAACAAAAATTTCATCTGTGGTTAGTTTTATAGTTGGTTATTTCTTAGCACTCCTTACTCCTCTAAAGTGACATGAAACTAACTTTTTGCTGGGCAATCAATTGAAAATATAGGCTGGGACGCCAACGTGGAAAGACGAAGGCAAGAAGTTACATTAGCTCCGGTAATTTCACAGTCTATGACAAGATGAAAAAATGAAACTTTTGGAGCTTTTTTCGCTACCCTGGGAACTGTTGATGCTGTTTCAACTTTGAACTCATTTGGTATATATGTTGCTTAGTTTGAGTGTTTTTGCTATTAAAAAAAGAAATGAAAAATTGAGTCAAATATGATTTGCAGTGTTTCAGGCTTTGTTAGTTACTTTGACATCCATTCAAGTTCCAGTCTCAAATTTTAGTTTTATCATTCTGTAATTCAAAAATTTGTTTTCCCTCAAAGGTCGAAGCCTTGGACATATCTAATAGGACCATGTTGATTTTGTTTTTTGGGTCCTATGTATTCAGCACATATTGAGTTGATTTCTTTATTTTTTTTAATTATATATTTTTAAAATATTTATCTCAGCTCTATTTTTATTTAATTTATTCTAAAATACAAGTTAAGCAGTGTCCGTTTAAAGAGTTTACAGTTTCAAAATCCCGCAACCTATCCTATCAAAATTGTAGGATTGAGCTAATTAACTCAAAAAGTTCAACAATCAATTAATCCAACAATTCTCTAAGTTGAATAGAATCAATTAAAAATTTGATAACGCCATGTTTAACTATAACATATACGAATATAGATCATAAATAAAAGCTTAATGATAACATCAGTTCAATTATTTGTAAGATATTTAAACTTGGTTAAGTATTATTTACTTTATTAAATAAACAAATTTAAAAATATTTTTAGAGACAAATTTAAAAATATTTTTAGATCGGATTAAGTTTCAAATTCATAAAATTAATAATAAAAACTATTAAAATTATTGTGTTTATATATATAATTTGACTTTTTTAAGTTGATATATCACCGTTAAATTTTTAATCTTTAACTATGTATGTGTGGTTATATGTTCTAGATTAAACTTAAGTAAGATACATTTATTCTTATACTACTTAATAATTTTTATTGAATAATTTAATCTTAAAATAATTTTTAAATTAAAACTTTTAATCACATAAATAATATTTGTAAAATTCAAAATTAATTTAAAATTATTTGATATCTTATTTATTTACATAAATTAGTGTATATATTTTTTAAGTACATAAAAATATAAATATTTATTAATAGAGGTTGGTTCGAGTGGTAAGTAATTCAATATTGCTTAAACAAAGTTTTGAATTCAAGTATTTGTGTATGTAAAAAATCTTTAGTGGTAAACTTATCCATCACATCCTTGTGTGTGACCCAAGTCAAATTCAAAATAAACATATGGAAAACTAAGAAAATAGAAATATTTCTATTACATATATTAATTTAATTTTGACAAAATTTAACACATATATTTAAAACAATATATAATTATAATTTAATGATCAAATCAATAAAAAATATAATTTATATTAAATTATTGAGGATTCAATTGTGTGTATGTAATTTTAATTTTTAAATGATAATATTTTTAAAATTATCTTAAATTTGAATCTTTTAAAGAAATTTTTTTATAATGTCACTTTTTTTTGCATTTTTAAGAACATTTATTTTTTATTTTATTTTATTTTTCTATAAATGTTTAAAACGTAAAAAATATTTAATTTACCATTATTTAACATAATAAAAATTTCATTACTAATACAAAATAATGTTTATAAAATTGATTAATTTAAAAATAAACATAATTGCATGGATGTACAAAAAAATAAAAGAAAAAAGAAAATTGCATCTAATAAAGGCCCATATCCCTAAGTAAACCAGACAAAAAAATGGCCTATGACCAAAAAATAAAAAAGCAGCCCAACCAAGTTGTCTTCAAAACAAAATATGATAAAAAATAAATAGAAAAAGAATCCTCCCTCTCTAGACCCTAATTGCTCCTTCCTGTCTGTGTTTCACTCAGAAATGGCGACGTTGCAATCGATTCAACGAGCACGAAAGACGATGCTCTCTTCCTCCTTCAAGCTTCGGACAAACGTTATCAATGCCACTCAAACTCTGACTACAAAGTCTCTAAGTACTTCTGCAATTCCACACGATTATCAGAGATTCCCTCCCCATTCCCAACAACACCAAACACCCTCTGATCCCACACCATTTCAGGGCCAATGGCAACAGCATCATCCTCAACATTTCAACCCACAAACCCCCCACCACAACCCTCCTCCTTCCAATCAATTCCCTTACCACAACCAACAGCCCCATAATAAACCCAATGTCCCTCGTTCATTTCCCGAGCAGGGGCCAAACCCTAATCACTGGAATCCTCGACACCCCACTTCTCAAAATCCCAACTTTCACACACCCGCTACCCCCAATCCTTCGTTCAATCAAAACCAGTGGAACCCTCGTACTCAGGGGTTCCCTACCCCACAACGTCCAAACCCTAACCAATTTCAAAACCCTAATAATACCCATTTCAACAATCAAGCTTCTGTCCAAGGGCAAGCTCCTCCTTCACCGCCCCCTTCAATCATTGATTTAACTAGCCTGTGCAAAGAGGGGAAAGCTAAAGAGGCAATTGAATTGATGGACAAAGGGGTCAAAGCTGATGCTATTTGCTTTGATCTTCTGTTTGATTTGTGTGGCCAATCCAAATCCCTAGAGGATGCCAAAAAGGCTCATGATTACTTTCTACAATCTACTTGTAGGAGTGATCTCAAGTTGAACAACAAGGTGATTGAGATGTATGGGAATTGTAAAAGCATGACTGATGCACGTAGGGTGTTTGATCATATGGCCAACAGGGATATGGATTCTTGGCACTTGATGATCCGCGGCTATGCAAATAATACCAACGGAGATGAGGCCTTGCAGTTGTTTGAGCAAATGAATGAGCTTGGTTTGGAAATCACTTCAGAGACTTTGCTAGCAGTGTTGTCAGCTTGTGCCAGTGCAGAGGCTGTGGAGGATGGTTACCTACATTTTGAGTCCATGAAAAGCAAGTATGGAATCGAGCCTAGGGTGGAGCACTATATGGGCCTTTTGGATGTTCTTGGACAATCTGGATATCTCAAGGAAGCTGAGGAGTTTGTTGCTAGGTTGCCCTTTGAGCACACAGTAACCGTATGGGAGACTCTGAAGCATTATGCTCGCATTCATGGAGACGTTGATCTTGAAGACCATGCTGAAGAGTTGATAATTAGTCTTGACCCATCAAAGGCTGTTGCCAATAAGATCCCTACGCCGCCTCCGAAGAAGTACTCTGCAATTAGCATGCTTGATGGCAGGAACAGAATTATTGAGTATAAGAATCCTACTCTGTACAAGGATGATGAAAAGTTGAAGGCCTTGAGTGGGATGAAAGAAGCGGGTTATGTTCCTGATACAAGATATGTTCTTCACGACATTGATCAGGAAGCAAAGGAGCAAGCCTTGCTATACCACAGTGAACGCTTGGCAATTGCCTATGGTCTTATTAGTACTCCTCCAAGAACACCGCTTAGAATCATCAAGAACCTTCGTGTCTGTGGTGATTGTCACAATGCCATCAAAATCATGTCCAGGATTGTAGGCAGGGAACTAATTGTCAGAGATAACAAAAGGTTTCATCATTTCAAGGATGGAAAATGCTCTTGTGGGGATTACTGGTGAAGGAATCATTAATTGAAATCCTACAATAGCATGGATATATCATTTTGTACCCGGTAGCCCTTTCTTGTGTTCCGGGAAAACAAATGTTGTGAGTCGGAGCTTCGATACTACTAAGATAGGAGATGAATTATGTAGCATTCGCTGTTTTAGAATTTATTTGCTTCTTGTTCAGATATTCACATAATTCTCTCTCTACTTCTACTCATTGCTATTACTTGTGGTCACATTCAAATTTGCTCTTACATGGTTTCTGTATATTTATTTATTTTTGGTTCCAGCTACTTAATATGCTGAACAAGTTTGAAGTTTGGTTTTGAAAAGATGTTTAGGAGCATCTCTTTACTCTTCGTTTTATAGTCGGTGTATTGGGAAAAAATGGTACCTAGTTATGTGATTTTGAGCACTAGTTTGGAATTAATCTAAAACAACTGGTAGACTATTAAAACAGCCGCCACTGTTGCTGGTTAAATACTACACTGAATTAGTGTTGATTTTGAAAATTGAAATGACTAATTCCTAGATACATCTATTCTAGTTTTGGCCCATTTTGAGTATATGAATTTGTCAATGATTAAAATTACATATTTTTACTTTTATTTTTAGAAAAGTATAATATGAAAAAAGAATAGAATGTCCAATGAATTTCAAATTTATGCAAAATACTTTTCTATTTCTAAAATGTCTAACATAAGTTTTACATTTTTTACAGGAAAATACAAAAATGTCATTTAACGTTTAAAATTGTTTTTTTATTTTAAATGTTACTTTTTTAAAAATAAATTTTTAAATTATTATTTTTCAAACTAATTCTCAGCTTGAGGTGAATCACATGGTGGCAAACATTTTGCTAATATTGAATGTTAGCAGAACTGATTTTATATATATAATAAATTTTGTCACTAAAAGTGAGAATTAGATGAGATAGTGTTACAAGTCAGGTACACAACTTCTGCAGTTCTGCCATAAAATTGACAGGCAGGGAGATCACACGTGTGGAAGAGTTAGATCTAGACTGTCTAATCTCTCTTTATTTAAGTAAATTTAGATTCATTTAAACTAAAATAAAATTTGTGCTCTTCTCTCTCTCAGCCCCATGCTCTCCTTCCACAATCTTAGCTTTTCTCCTCTTACAATTTTTACAAAATATTTTAGTTTTTTACTTATGTAAAAATAAAACTTAATGTTCAATGTGGTGAAACTTTCTAGTTTGATAATATGTGCAGAATAAATATTATTTAATTTTTGGTTTATTATTTTAATTTTATAATTTGTTAACTGTTGTAGGTTTAAAATTACATGACTTTCTTAATTAAGATGTAATAATAATTTGTATATATTGTATGTATATATATATATTTTACATTTTAATATCAAATAAAAGTTTCTTTAAATCTTATTTTTGTATAAAAAAAAGTAAGAGATACAAGTTTTTAACTTAAAAATGTTAATATAATATGACTTGACTTATGATAAATTTATTTGTATATAAAGAATATTTGATTCAAATCATTTTTAATTTAAATTTGAACAAAATAATAATAATTTTCTAAATAAATATATTATTTACATATTTAAATTATAATAACAATAATAACTAATTTCACACTCATAAATTAAATAGAAGTAGTAGTATATTATAAAAGCTTAAATAGAACTAATCTTATTGTAGACTTTCAAAAATTCTTCTAATTTTTCAAATAAGAATTTTTATCTCACATACATAGAAAAGAATTTTTAGACAAAAAGATGTAACTACAATTAAATGTCCAAGAGTTGTAGAGTTTCGCTAAAGTTTTGGTGATGCTCATCAAGTTTCGCCCTTTTATCCGAAACTTTAAAGATCGTGTATCACCCTATAAGTTTTGCTTTGTTGATGGACTTTATTCACTTTCACTTACTTGTATCAACTTTATGGCAAAATTTTACTAGTTTAACACATATTAAGGTTTAAACTATTTCATAATTTTGGAGACAATACTTAATTCTTTTTAAAAAATATTAATAAGTTTTGTAAGTAATAATCACGAAAATTTTATCATGTGACGACTTTCACCTTAGATTGAAAATTAGTTTTAGAAAAACTATAATTTGATAATTTATTTTTTAAAAAGCAATATTTAAATAAAAAGCCTTTAAAATTATATAATCACGGTCATCTTTTTAATATTAAAAACAAGGCTACAACAAGCGGCATTTGGTAATTTTATGAAATAAAATGTTGTTTTTTTGGTAATTTTAGGAAACCATTGATCGATACTTATATATTAAGACACTTGTTTAAGGTACTATTCATTCCTTAGTTGCATTACATGACAGCTGTTACGGAACTTATTCTACCTGTGAAAAAAAATGACAGGTCAAGAGTTTTTCCACATGGTGGAGAGCATTAAATATACTCAAACTTAATAGAAGATAACTTCGTTTTGAACATTTTTTTTTATCGTTAATTATAACCATCCCTTCATTTTAAACCTTTTTAATAGAATAACTCGTTTCTGCCATTGGTTTCTCAATTGATTTTACTGGGAGGGTCTTACAAATTCCTTGAATGATTAGACACCAAGAAATGATCAAGTATATTTTGGTCCTAAGATTCTTTTACTAATTCACTTACTTCCTATCGTGTTCTATGATTTGGTTAGCGGGTGGTTTAATGATTTTGCGGGACTTGTGTAATAATGTCGCTTAGCCTTAAGCACACTGAGATTAAAATAATTTTTTACGACAAATTCCAGTAATATATTTTTTAATATACTATTTTTTTTATCGTACTTTTAGTTATTTATTAAATTTTATTAAAAGAATATAAAAATTATATGAATTTTACTTTAAATTTAACATTTTTATTTCTAATTTAGTGAGTCTTTTTTTACTTCTATTATTTTAAATAAATTTTAACTAATAATTAATAATGTGTTAATCATTTCTAATTTTTTATTATTCAATATTTGTTGTTTAATGACTAATCTCATTATCTTTGAGACGGTTTAGGTGTTTCCAATCAACCCAACCCATCTTATCGGGTTTGGGGAAGGGTAAATCCGTCCCCTACCCATCCTGTTGCCAACACTAATCCCCCCTTTACCTTCATTCTCCTGTGTTGAGTAGGCACATATCTATCCATTGAAAAAAGAAAAAAAAAGTGCAGTTCTTGTAAGAGTAAAACTAAAACAGTTTTGACAGTGCACATATAGTGTACTTGTAATAATTGTGCACCGGTTTTTATTAAATTTTGTTGATTTTATATTCAGCTAATATTTTTATAGAGAAATGATGTTATTTGAATATTAAAAAATAGTAGACCTAAATATGTTTCGTTTTTATATTTAATCATTTTTTTATTTAATCTCTCCATTTTTTAAATCCTTATATGTTACCAAATTATTATTTTTAATTAAAGACTGACATTTGACGATATCTTAATGAACTTAATTAGCAATAGAGAGAACAAAAAAATTCATAAAATAATAGATACTAAAATAAAAAAAAATGTTTAAAGGAACTAAAATAAAAAATTAACTTAAATATAAGGATTAAAAACATATATAAGCCAAAATAATATTATAGAACTTATTTTCATTACTTTCTTACTTTTTTATCTTCTTATTTACACATCTAAAAAATATATTATAAAATAAACGACACACTAAAAGATGTTTCACTTTCAACGTACAAGAAATACTTTCCTTTTAGGGAGATGGAAATCCGTCGTCCTTTTGGCATAACGAAGGCTGAAAGACGCTTGGTACGTGATTTTTGACAAATTTTGAAGAGGAAATAAGGTAGCAATTGAAACCTGAGAAAGTTTATTTATTATTAATAACAATATAATTCACAAGGAAGAGAATAGACAGAGAGAGGAGGCTTTAGCTTTGTCCATTTTCCTTCTAAAATCCAGCTTTATCAAGCATATAAATATAATTAAGCACGGTTATATAAGCATTCAAACATGTCTCAGGGATTGTGTCATCATGGTCATGAACTCGTCTACGTCAACCATGCCATCACCATCAGTGTCCACTGCTCTCACCATTCTCTTGCAGTCCTCGATGCTGCACCTTTCTCCCAACCTCCATAGCATTTCCTTAATTTCTTCTGCACTTATTTTTCCATCACCATTCTTATCAAATGTCCGAAATGCACTGTGTATATCCATTGTCCTAACCCCACCACCCTTGTTCTGAGCCTCCATAAATTCTTTGAAATTGATGAATCCATCTCCATCCAAATCAACCACCTTGAAAATATTTGGCACCTCATGAACCGAATTCTCCATGCCTAAAGCATTCATGGTGGCTTTGTATTCCTGTTGAGAAATTTTCCCATCTTTATTGGAATCAAATTTGTCAAACACCTGCTTCATCTCATCAGCATTAGGCTGAATGAAAACACCTTTCGGCTCAGAGCTCTGTCTGGAGAACAGACGAGATGGCTTCCTCAAGTATTTCCTCTTTGAGAGGCTGTATTGGAAATCAAGGAAACTTGTCCTTGACATTTTGTGCTGCAGCTGATTTCACTTGACATGAAAATTGAATGGAGAACTTAGTCTTTTTATATTGGTGAGAAATGGAAAAGGTGGTGATATCTTACATGCCAATCCTAGGCTATCAGTAGTAATTCCTCATCAATACGAAAACCAAGATGCTAAAAAGGGTAATGCAGGATTGAAAAGAATATAGTGTGCCGAAAGATAAGTAGATTTTACGGAAAAGAATATATTCTTTCCAAAAGATGCAAGTGTGTTCTCCTATTTTCCTTTGGAGGGACTTTTTTCAAGTCGTTTCTTTCAGTGGGTACAATCTTTACCTGTCTTTAATCGTAAAAATGTTCATATACATGAATATTTTGAAGGTCAATTATGGAAGAATATAACTCATCAAGATGAATAGCGCACAAATTCCCGCGGTGGAGAAAGGGAACAAAAGAAGAATAAAAGACCCAAGGAAGGGGGGACCATCAACCATCATGGTGGTTTTCCATTATCCAAATCCTCCATTACATCAATATCCTTGCGAGCTGTTATCTTTTGCACGTATCCTGCAAAACAGACATCAGCAAATTACTCCAACTTGATATTCTTGAAAATAACAGTTGCTGGTTAAAATAAAATAGCATACGAAATTTCACAAAGTTAACAAAGAATTAAGACCACTCAGGAATGTTTTTGATGAAAACGTCATGCATGGCCGCTGACTCTGTCTGACACTTTAGAAAGGTTTACTACCAAAGCAGAAACTTTACATCCAACGAAAAAAACATAACAGAAATAACCCACTGATAAGAAAGCAATTCTAAGGTGACCCCAAAGCAAGAGAAATCTCTTGCTTTCTATTCTTATAGCTAATTTGGTATATATTCATAGTACAAAGCACCTAAGAACGTATCCTGACATGAAAATTATACCCACAACAGGGAAGGGAGGGATACAACGTACAAAATAAATTACTATCTAAAATACAACTTCATGGCCTCTAAATCATCAACCACTCTCACATCTCGCATTTCATCATAGGATAAACCAAATGGAAACAGGGAACATCCAAAATGGCATCATGCTTACTTATCATAGTAAGAAAGCAATTGAAACAGATAGATCTTAGAAAAGTACATGAAGCTGCAACTTCTAAACAGCAGAGGACTGTACAGAAGTATTCACTTTGTA